AGAAACCTATAGGTCAACATATATGCCAGAAACCTATAAGTGACATATATGCCAGAAACATATATGTGACATATATGCCAGAAACCTATAGGTGACATATATGCTAGAAACCTATAAGTGACATATATGCCAGAAACCTATAGGTCAACATATATGCCAGAAACCTATAAGTGACATATATGCCAGAAACCTATAGGTGACATATATGCCAGAAACTTATAGGTGACATATATGCCAGAAACCTATAGGTGACATATATGCCAGAAACCTATATGTGACATATATGCCAGAAACCTATAGGTGACATATATGCCAGAAACCTATAGGTGACATATATGCCAAACCTATATGCGACATATATGCCAGAAACCTATAGGTGACATATATACCAGAAACCTATAGGTGACATATATGCCAGAAACCTATATGTGACATATATGCCAGAAACCTATAGGTGACATATATGCCAGAAACCTATAGGTGACATATATGCCAGAAACCTATATGTGACATATATGCCAGAATATGACCACAGTGTACTCCTCTTCTGATGGCTACTTCCAGCAAGATAACGCCGCATGTCAGAAAGCGTGAATCATCTCAGACTGGTTTCTTGAACATGACAAGGAGTTCACTGTACTGAAATAGCCTCCACAGTCACCAGAGCTCAATCCAATAGAGCATCTTTAGGATCTGGGGGAACAGGAGATTCACACCATGGATCTGCAGCAGCTGCGTGATGCTATCATGTCAATATGGAGCAAAATCTTTGAGGAATATTTCCAGCACCTTGTTGAATCTATGTCGCAAAAGATTAAGGCAGTTTTGAAGGCAAAAGGGGATCCAACCAAGTACTAGTAAGATGTACCTAATAAAGTGGCCGGTGAGTGTATGTTAACTTCTACATTACAAAGAAATCTATAATGATGTTGTTCATAAGGGGAGAAGAAATGGCTCAGTCTGCACCCCAGCAAAAGTTAATTATAGAGACGTAAATCAGAGACCACCCATTGTGTCTGAGACTGTAAGAAATACTTTGGAATCTTCCTAAAATGGGTTTCCCTTAATACTAGCAACATGAAAGTGGGTAAAGGAGACTTAAGGAATATAATTCACACTAAACAATAATCAAGCCTGTTCTCATGTTATTGTGCCCTTGAGTGGGACCTAAAAACATCACGGTTGACTATTGTCCCTGCCGTGAGTTGTTTCGGCTAAAGGGATACTGTTTTCAAGGACAGTCTGAGCTCGGAGAAGTGAAGATGTCAAACAAATAGAAGAGAAATTCTGTCATTTACTCACCCTCCAGTTCTTTTAAACCTGTTTACTTTTCTTTCTACTGTTGAACAAAAAAAGAAGATATTTTGAAGAATGTTGAAAACTGGTAAACTATTGACTTCCATTGTGTATTTTTTTCCCTATAACTTTCCTACGGAAGTCAGTGGCTACAGGTTTCTAACAAAGTTCTGAAGTGACTGACTGTTTTTGGGGAGCCCCGAAAATGACGAACCCAATCGCTGTTCTTTCCCCAAAATAACATTTCATTTAAGATTAATTGTGCAATTAGTCAGATTATTCTGCTGGGTTCACACCAAAGGTGAAAGTATGTTTGGGCAAGCATAGTTGACACACAAAATTAACGCACAAATGAAAGGGATTCCATTAACGATAAAAAATATGCAGCACGTTTGCTGCAAATGCCTGAAATTCCCCTCAATCACTTCATTTCAATTTAACTCAAGTGGAAAATTTGTGTGTAAATTGTACAACATTGTTTTGCTGCCTACATTTTTTAGTTGAATCTAATGAACTGTTCTAGTCATCTCAACTTACATCAGTCCAACTGAATTAAAAGTGTTAAGGTAAACTGTGAACATTCACTAATTTTCCTTCGGCTTAGTCTCTTTTTCAGAGGTCGCCCCAGCAGAATGAACCGACAACTATTCCAGCATATGTTTTATGCAGCGGATGGCCTTCCAGCCGCAACCTAGTATTGGTAAACACCGGTACACACTCACTCACACAACTATGCTACGGACAATTTTGTTTATTCAAATCACCTATAGCGCATGTGTTTGGACTTTGGGGGAAAGCAAAGGAAAAGGAACAGAGGAACCCAGAGGAAACCCACGCCAACATGGGGAAAACATGCAAACTCCACACAGAAATGCCAATTAACCCAGCCGAGACTCGAACCAGCAACCTTCTTGCTCTGAGGCGACAGTGCTAACCACTGTGCCGCCTAAACTGTGTACAATTAAAAGAAAATGAATGGAAACCTGATTCATTTATTAAAATATGATAAAGTAAAAATGTTGTCGTGATTTATTTACAGTGGGGGTGGGACCGTTCACAGAATTGTCAATTTGGTTTGTGTCACGATTTCCTGTGTGATTTAGATTACATGGCCAATATATATATATATATATATATATATATATATATATATATATATATATATATATATATATATATATATATATTATGCATAAAGTGACACATTACTTAAAAAAAGTGATAATATTTGACTTTTTAAAAATGCAATGTAGCATTACTTTTTTTGTAGGGATGTCCCGATCAGGTTTTTTTCCCCTCGAGTTCGAGTCCGAGTCATTTGATTTTGAGCATCTACTAAAACTCAATCTGATGCTTCTATAACACATAAAAAAAGAATAAATAAGAGCGAAAAAACTGATCCAGGATGTTCCTTATGTTTTATTTAATCCACCTTATTTTAACATTCAGCAATTGTTAAATTCTGAAAGAGGTCTAACTCTGTGCCCCTGCATAATTATAGATGTGTTTAAAAAGTATTGAGAATATATGAAAATATACACATCCAGTTGAAGTCAGAATTATTCGCCCCCCCCCCCCCGATTCTTTTTTCTTTTTTAAATATTTCCCAAATGATGTTTAACAGAGCAAGGACATTTTCACAGTATGTCTGATAATAATTTTTCTTCTGGAGAAAGTCTTATTTGTTTTATTTTGGCTAGAATAAAAGCAGTTTTTAATTTTTTATGACTCATTTTAGTTAAAATATTAGCCCCTTAAGCAATTTTTTTTCCAATGTCTTCAGAACAAACCATCATTATACAATAACGACTAATTACCCTAACCTGCCTAATTAACATAGTTAAGCTTTTAAATGTCTCTTTAAGCTGAATGGAAGTGTCTTGAAAAATATATAGTCAAATATTATTTACTGTCATCATGGCAAAGAGGTTTAGAAATGTGTTGAAAAAAATCTCTCTGTTAAACAGAAATTGGGGAAAAAAATAAACAGGAGGTTAATAACTCAGGGGGCTTATAATTCTGACTTCAACTGTATCTATTCGAGTCCTGATCGGGAGGTCTGGAACCACGTGATCAGACCCGATTTCCGTTCATGTGATCGGATGAGAGAATTTTCTCAGAGCCTTAGATTTCTGTGATGGAAAATTCTCATTTTCTCAACACATGGAAGAAAAGGAAAAGGGAATTAAACACCATTCTAGATGCAACCCCTCACTGGGAAACATCCATACACACTCATACAAAACAGACAATTTAGTTTATTCAATTCACCTAAAGCACATGTCTCACGCCAACACGGGAAGAACATGCCAACTCCACACAGAAACGCCAACTGACCCAGCTGAGACTCAAACTAGCGACCTTCTTGCTGTGAGGTGACAGTGCTAACCACTGAGCCACCGTGTTGTCCACAAATGTGAACTTTGTATGTATGTAATTAGCATATATTCCCATATATCAGATTTCTTTATGTGCTCTAATTGTGTTTCCGCAGTCAGAATGCGAAGACTGTCCAACATTTAACCACAGTATAAACTAGATCTGAGTTACGGTATTGTTGTCAGTATTTTGACAGGTGTTGCTGGATTTTAAAGCAAACCCACACTGGTTGTGTCCTTTACTTTCATGGGCTCCTCCTGGAAAATGTCTCTCCAGGTTAGTTACTTTGGCCCACATGTTCTTCTGCCGGCTTGGTTACAGATGTTTGGGATGGGAGTCTGCTGAGCAGGCACTTTTGAAATAAAGCAAGCATTTCATTACATAAAAAAAAACTTCAAAATTTAAGACCTTTCTTTTTGGAGGAGAAGATTTAATAAAGGTGACTTTCTGTTCTACAAAATCGGTTGCATAAAAACACATTCATTCATTTTCCATTCATTCACATCAGGGGTCGCCACACCGGAATGAACCGCCAATTTATCCAGCATATGTTTTACACAGCGGATGTCCTTCCATCTGCTACCCAGTACTGGGAAACACCCATTCACACTCACATTACGGACAATTTAATCCAATTCACCTACAGCGCATGTCTTTGGACTGTGAGGGAAACCAGAGCACCCGGAGGAAACCCACGCCAACACGGAGAGAACATGCAAACTCCACACAGAAATGCCAACTGGACCAGCCGAGGCTCGAACCAGCAATCTTCTTGCTGTCAGGTGACAGTGCTAACCACTCAGTCGCTGTGCTGCCTATAAAAACACAATATGGCAATATTTAAAGACAAAATGATGTTGGTTTCTCCTTAAAACACACAAAATAATCTACCAGAAGGTGAGTAAGATAATATTTTAAAAACCTAAGTTTATTTAGCTTGTTTAAGGGAAAATCTTGCACCTACTGGTGCTCCAGTTTGGTCACAATCCAAAGACATGCGCTATAGGTGAATTGAATAAACTAAATAGTGTATGAGTGTGCATGGTTGTTTCCCAGTACTGGGTTGCAGCTGGAAGGACTTCCACTGTATAAAACGAATGCTGGATAGGTTGGCGGTTCATTCCTCTGTGGTGAAAAAAAGGGACTAAGCTGAAAAGGAAACGAATGAATGAATTTTAGATCATGATTATATAATAAATATATAGAATGTACATCGTTTACACTTTAAATGATGTTAAAGCTAAAAAAATCAGGTCTTGAACCACTTACTTTCCTAATATGGAACGACCGGAAGTGACACCGCTTCACCCCGCCCCTCCGCGAGAAGAACCGTGCATGCTCGAGCAGCAAGGTTATTCGGTATTCAGCCTCGGCTCGAGTCTTTCGCCGTCAGGAGGGCAGGAGCCTGTGGTAAGACTTATCAGAAGTTTCCCTCATAAATGCTTTGTCTGAGAAATGTGTATTATGCATATATAAGACGAGTGCATAGTTGAACCTTTGCGTTTAGGGTTATTATTCCTCACAAAAAACTAATTATATATCTATATGATAATTTAATCACGTTATAATCGCTTTTATTTATGCTAGCGTGTGCAGAACAGGTGCAATTGAGGAAATTAATGATGGTTTTAAATTCTTAATAATATAATTTTAGAAAGTTATCCTTATTATTAGCAGCCAACGACTATAAAAGTATTATCAAAGCACTGTTAAATAGTGCTAATACTGTTTTGAAGTCATACTTAAGGTATTTCAGACCCATATTCAAAGTACAATACGTTGTCACATCAAAAATGAACGAATGCTCGAATATAAAACGAGCTTTACCTCAATGACAGAGCTGGTGTTCATCATACACGTGCTCTTCAATGCTGACCTTCACGTTAACTGATGAGACTCTTGTATAATAATAACAACGGAAATCTTACATTTATAACTACTTTAAATGCCCTCATAAATGTGTTATTTAGGCTATTATAAAAATATTAACGAAATAAAATTGATATAAGTGTACTATTGCACAATATAATCTGCAGGTTCATTTGTAAAGTTGATTTTTAGGATTATTAATTGGTATTTTTGCACTTGGCTGTAGCTGGGTTTGACATTTTCTTCAGGGTCAGCCAACACTTGTCCTTTCAAGATCGTCACCTGTTCCAAGTTCATGTCTGAATGAGTTATTATATCACTTCTGGGTTAAAAGGCTTAATATTTAAAATAAAGTCCTTTTTTGAGCGCGTTTTGATGTTTATAGGATTTGACAAAGAAAAGTGAAAATGTGCATTAAATTATGACGATATTTCTAGCAAGTCTGACGCTCAAATCACTGGAAGTAATTGGAAAAAGTTATTTAAAATGAAATAAAAGGAGTAATATAATGCTTATATGAAGCAGTGGTCACCTTTTATAACTGTTTTAGGATTGTAGGAATAATTAATAGTATTATTAATACATAATTCATTGACATTAAATTGTATATTTTTAATTTATTCATTCATATATTTATTATTATTATTATTGCAATTACATATGTAACTCGTGTAATATTTAGGAAAATTTGTTTATGCAGAATTTTATTTTATTTTTGTATTTATTTATTAATGAATTGTTAAATTGGCATCATATATTGTTTGTTTTTTTAGGTTTGTATGGTATTTTACTATATTTTATGTTTTTTCAATGTAAATTGTATTGCTATTATTAATAATAAAAAATGTGAATAATGCCATTTTAGTTATATTTAACAAAGTAATGTGTTTAATTTAAAGAATTTTCACTAAGTATTTAGTCTTACTGCTGTTTTGTATGAATTTTGAATTCATTTAAAGGTGCAAATGAACATTTTGAATATCTTTAGTTTAATAGTGACTTTATTAGGTGACTTGAAACATGTTTCAATGTGTTTTCAGGCTGTGTGACCGTCACATGATGTGCTTGAGTTTTAATCCTCTCTGTTAGTTCTGTAAAGATTATTCAACAATGTGTGCACATTCTTGGAAACTTAGAAGTTCATGATGCAGAAATAGTTTGAGGTTAATCCTGAAAAAATAGAGTTATATGTTACATATATGCCTCTGGAGAGGTTATTTTTCAAATGTGAATCACTTTAGACTGTTTCATCCATTTACTTCTCTGAAAAAATATAAAACTGAAATGATTCAGGTGGCGGTGAGACAGTCACATGATAAAAAAGCTTGATGTCAGATCTAAATGTACTGCATGAATGGATTAAACCTGTTTTTTTTTTTTGTTTTTTTTTCTGCGATAGAACATTTTTGTTATTTTTTAATCTAAAAGAAAAGCAAATTTAAAATCCAAACTCAACTTTAATTCATTTCTTATTTTACTAATTTTTATTTTATTTCTTATTTTATTTTTTTAAGAATTTTTTGTCTTTTTTATAATTATTTTATTTTAATTGTAATTTTCCTTTTTTATTGTTTTAAAATTATTTTTATGTAATTTTCCTTTATTATTATTATAATTTAAATTATTTGTAATATAATTTTCCTTTAATTTAATTATTTTTAATATAATTTTCTATTATTGTTATTATTTTAAATTGTTTTAGTTAATTTTCATTTTTATTTAATTTTATTATTATTTTTATTATTTAAAAAAACTTTTTATTGAGATTTTCCCTTGTTTATTAGAATTTTGTTATTTTTAAAATTTTATATTTAATTATGTTATTTTATACCTATTTTGTGTTTAATTAAATTTTATTTATCCATATTTTTTATTATTTTAGTTTTTTGTGTGTTTTTTTATTTTATATATTGTTTTGTTATCCATTGAATTTTTTGTTTAATATTATTTTTATTTAATTTTAAATTTAATTTTAAATTTAATTTTCCTTTAATGTTTTTTTTCCATTAATGTTTGTATTTTATTTTTAATTTAAGTTTATTTTTCTTTTATTGATATTATTTTATTTCATTTTATATATTTAATTTTGAACTTAATTTTCCCATGTTTATTATTATTATTATTATTATTATTATTTATTTTTTATTTTATTTTAAATTTACGTTGTTAATTATAATTTTTTCAGAATTTTTTTGTTCTTTTATTTTTTTATTGTTTAATTTTATTTTACTTTATTATTATTATTTAAATTTTCCTTTATTATTATTATTATTATTATTATTATTTTATTTTATATATATATATTTATTTTACATTGCTTTGTATATTCCCACATCGTGTAGCAACAAAAGCAGGTGCATATCTAACATCACAAGTTGCAGCATTAGTGGGACAACTGGAAAAACCCAAAAGACCTCGCCATACTTCAGTGCAGTTTCTGAGGAAAAGACAAGTAGGAGGTTAAAAAGTCAGGCCCCAACGGACGTGAGGATTGGTTTGATCTGATTGTGTGTGAGTTTTTTTCCCGGTAGGGTGTAGTCCACATGCGCTTTCCTATCTCTAGCATGCATGTGTCCGAGCCAGTTCATAGCCGGTGCATGCTTCAACTCTTTCTGCTGTAATTTTATGCCCTTTTCTACATAGTTGAAGGAATGTAACATTTTGTTGCTGAATCATACTGTCTTGAGAAGGCTTGTTTGTCTAGTGTGGATTATTAGATTAACTTGTAACCTTAAACCTCTACCGAAAAAAAAAGAGTTTTGATTTCTTAGTGCTGTTTATAATTTCTATTTTATATTGATAATAGCTAGTGGGAAAACTCAAACAGTGACAGGCCTGCAGAGATGCATGATTGTTATCCTGTGCAAACATAGTGCACACATACTGTACAGCATTTTCAGTATATAGTCAGTGGTGTAAAGTAACATGCACTCGATTTACTGAGCAGAGTTTCTCATGAATTATAATTTAGTAAGTAGTTTTAAAAATGTGTATTTTACTTTCCCTTGAGGACATTTTACTGCAGTATTGGTACGTTTACTCCGCTATTTTCCTTCAACCTAAAGTCACTTTATTTTTTCTTGTCTATGGTAATTGACTAAAATGTTTAGTTACATCGTAGATAGAAAGTAAAGGGCATCATACTGAACAACCTCAAGACATGTGCACTTTATAAATGCAGCAAGTCGTTTGGAAGCATTAAAAGTGTCCAAGACGATGTTCAAAATCTTAACACGCATTGACCAAGAGACTGTTTAGATGCAGGTCTCTAAAGTAAAAATGTAGACATTTAGATTGACTGGAGTTTTCAAGACTTTTTATATGCAAAAATCAGCATCTCTAAGCATATATAAATAGGACAGGCGGCATCACGGTGGCATAGTGGGTAGCACGATTGCCTCACAGCAAGAAGATCACTGGTTCAAGCCTCGGCTGGGTCAGTTGGCATTTCTGAGTGGAGTTTGCATGTTCTCCCTGTGATCTTGCGGGTGTACTCCAGGTGTTCTGGTTTCCCCCACTGTCCAAAGACATGCGCTATTTAGGTGAAATGGGTGGGCTAAATTGCCTGTAGTGTATGAGTGTGTATGGATGTTTCCCAGTGATGAGTTGCAGCTGGAAGGGCATCCGCTGCGTAAAACATATGCTGGATAAGTGGGTGGTTCATTCCGCTGTGGCGACCCCTGATTAATAAAGGGGCTAAGGCGAAAAGAAAATGAATGAATGAACGCAAAAATAAAAGTACAGGGTTCGTACTGGTGCCGGAAATCCTGGAAAATGTTTGATTTTTAAAAAAAAGTGTTCTCAAGGTTTGAAAAGTGCTTGGATTTTGGACAAAGTGCTTGAACTTGCTTGAACTTGAAATTACAGGGCTCGAAATTGCGACAATTTTTGTTTGCAAATGCACACAATTTTATCTACGCGAGCTCAAAATATATTTGGGAGCATTTGTGCGAGTGCATAAAATTGCTGCTGTGGGACCAGTTTTCATTGCAAAATGTTCAGCGCATGCACGTATTTAAGAAGACATTCACGCACAATGCATATTTGCACCTAAAAACGCAAAACGCAGCGCTCAGAAATAGTTTACAACAGTCAGCATATCAACTTGCGGCAGTAAACAAAGCCTGCAATGCCTGCACCGTCTTAAAGCTCTTCTGATTGGCTCACTTGCCTTCCTTGAAATGACTGGGAGCTACAGCCACAAAAATATAAAAACACAATATAAAATATAAAAAATATATAATATTATAAAATAATAAAATATTATAGAATATAATAAAATATAAAACACAGCTTCAATATTTACTAGGGGAAAAAAATGAGTGTGTCCTTCTAGCGGCCCAATACATTAATGCCTGTCACATAAAGAGAGAGCAGACCAATAAAAACATCAGTGAACAAACATACACATGCCCAGATGATTAGAAATGAATCATTGTAAATATACTGATTATTATTGTTTATTACTGTTTTATCCTAAAAATGTACAGTTTATTCTGATCTATTTTTGTATTGATTTGTATGAATAATGTTGAATAATAATATAATATATTGAATATTAATGAGATATATTGAATAATATGATGTATTGTTGATATTTTATTTAATTATTATATATAAATATCTTTTTTTTACTACTACTATTTACTGTGTGTACTGTTTTTTATTATATATGTATGTTACTTTTTATGTAAACTTTATAACTGGTTTGGCAATACATTTGTAACAATTGTCATGCCAATAAAGCAATTATTGAGTTGAATTGAATTGAATATAAAGGTCGAGAGAGAATAAAAATAACACTGACAGATTTTATTTTAGAAACCACCTAAAGTTACAAATAACAGCCCATTTTACCCTTTTTCGGTGAACTATTTCAATAAATCTTAGTTCTAAAGTATTCAACAATTTAAGTTTTTTTTTTTTTTTAAACAAGCACTATGGATTTAAATGTGAGAAAGTACATACAGCATATATTAATGTAATTTACCGTGGTTGTTAGGTGCTGGAAAAGCATAGAAATACACGTTGAAAGTGCTTGAAAAGTGCTGGAATTTGAAGATGGAAAAGGTGTAAGAACCCTAAAAGTAAAACAAACAGCGCTTATTGGTTTTCTGGGGAGTCTAACAGTGTTCAAATACTAAAATTAAACAATCAAACATAAAATAACATGGCCATCATTGTATAAATAATTTTATACAATAATAGAAAAATAATATCTAATAAAATCTTCATATTTTAATCTTCAATAAATAATCTAATTCTGAAGTGTATTACGGATACACATATTGTGATATCGATGCTCAAACTAGTAGGTGTCAAGTTATACTTCCATAGTAGGTAAAACAAGTTCAATGGAAGTCAATAGTTACAGGTTTCCGACATTCTTCAAAATAATGTCTTTTGGATTCAACAGAAAATGACTCAAACTGGTTTGTGACAAGTGATTGATGAGTAAATGAATGTCAGAACTATCACTTTAAGAGAATCCTAAGCCAAACAGTGTGCACTAGAGCGCTTTAACATATATTATAGCATCTGTTATCGCAGACTGTTTTACGGCTTGTTTTGTTGACATAACAATCTAATCATAATTATGTTATGACCAGATTTATCTCCTTCACACTGATTTTAGATATAGATGTTGTTGGCCTCTCAAAGGTGCCTCAGTGGATTTAGAGACTTAAACAGGTCTATGTAAAAATGACTGCATGTGCAAGTGAACAAATGAAGACTGATGTTTTTCTGAAGAGGTGGAAAAGCATTACAAGATATTTAGATGTGCACATTTAGTTTTTCTGCTGAGAATTTTGGTAAAAATCTGCTGAATTAATTTGGAAGTATCATAACTAAAACAAACACTTAACATATGAAATCAAAAAATAATATCTTTTTAACTTTTATTTAATGTTTAAAATGCAAATTCAATTAGATTAAATTTATTTGGTAAACAAAGCATCTACTAAAAGACATAAATAAATCAGATGAACATTTTTATAGTAGTCAGTAACATTGCTGAAGTTAATTTAAAAACTAAATAAATATAGATTTACACACATTTACTCAAGTAAATAAACAGAATTAATGATGGGCTAAAAATGTGTGCAATTCTGCAGAAAATCTGCGCGCGCAGATTCCATGTGGGCCTACTTATCACCAATGTAATTTGAGGTAACAATGTAACTAAATGTGTCCCCTGAAAAGAATTTAGAATGGCAGTACTCATTTATTTATTTTGTGTTATTTATCTTATTTTATTTAAAATGTTTATATTATTATTATTTTTTATTTTCTAATCTGTACAGGGTTAAATTGTTGGGGAAGAGGTTGTTCTGTAAAAAAAAAGAAAAGAAAATCATAAATATAAAGTAAAAAATTTAAAAAGATACAGATTTTGTTGACAATGTTTTATTCTCTTTCCACAGATTTTTGAGGTCACAAATGGATCAAGCCAGGACAACCATCTCCAAAATCGTAAGACAATCATTTAATTGAAATGTATGAATTATTTAAGAGATAACAAATGGTCATTTAAAGAGTTAGGTCACCCCAAAATGAAAGTTCTGTTAATAATTACTCACCCTCAAGTCGTCCCAATACATTTGTTCATCTTCTAAAAATAAATGAATAAATGTTAGATGAAATCCTAGAGCTCTCTCAACCTCCATCCTCAGTGGTTTAACTGCACTCAAAAAAATGACGTTTGCTACTGTGTTTGTTCAAACGACTCACCACAGCTGAAACACCACAATTCTTGAGTTTTATTGGTTGACAACATTTTTTTTGTTAAATTCACTTAAATTTGTAAGACTCAATAAGTTTACTTCACAGTGTAAAATGCTGATTTCCCTGGAGACGATGTAACAATTTTATGGCTGATTATTATCATATATTCTGGAATTGTCCAGCAATCCAATCTTATTGGTTAATGGTGGTCACTGAAATTGAATCAATACTGGGTTTTGAGATTGATCATAGCTTTGGTACTATATATTTAGGAAACATACAAACCGATTTTAATGCACAAGACAAATACCTTCTCAAAATACTATTAGTTGCTAGTAAAAAAGCAATAACCAAGAAATGGAAGAGATTCCACCAACAAAGGATGAGTGGATAACAATTGTAGATAATATGTTTGAAATGGAGAAACTCACCTTTTCTTTAAGACTAAACATGGATAAATGCTATAAAACTACATATCCACACATTCCTTCGTGCATACACCCGGTCTTTCATATACACTGATTGCAATCACAGCTGTCTCTGTTTCCCCGTTGATTACCTGGACTATATATTCAGTCATTCATCTTCTGTTTGTTAGTTCGTCGTTCGTCTTAGTGGTATGTTATTCCTGATTCCTGTCTAGTTTCCTGTCAGAGTTGTTTAGTTCTAGTTCTAGTTTAATCTGTTGGAGTTCCTTGTTTGTTTGTTTACTTTGTTACTTTGATTTTTGGATTTTTGGTCATTTTCACTGCACTAATACATTATTAAATCTGCACTTGGATTCTACTCCCATTTTGTTCCTGTTTTCTATCCTGAAACGTGACAAATAATGTTTGTATAGTGAAGAGAACACCGGACAGTATTTAATTTCGGTGCCTCGTAAATCTTTTTCCAGTTCAATGGGGAACCACGTTCCTACACGCGCTTTAACCTGACCCAGAACATGGAGGGCGACAACAGCCATGTGGAGATGAAGCTGTCGTCTGACATGGATGAAGAGGTGGAGGCGAACGGTGTTGGGGAAAACCAACGTAATGGTCAATATTACCCCAGCAAGCTGAACCAGCGCTCTCCCAAAACTGTCTGCGGATTCGTCGTTGGCATTCTGCTCCTCTTCCTTTTTGGTAATTATCTTATGACATGACTCTCAGAAATGGTTTATTTAGATTGCTCAGTCATTAGGGTGTGTCAAATTGTTTTCTGTATGTTGTTTTGGTACAAAAAAATACACAAATTAGCCTGTGTATTTAATAGTTTAGCTAATAATGATTGGCATGGTACAGGGTTTTGATGGGAAATATGACCCTGGACCTCAAACCAGTCAATTTTGTGAAATTTGAGATTTTTACATCATCTGAAAAGCCCTTAAAGTTGTCTAAATGAAGTGCTTTGCATTACATATTGTCAATTAGAAAAAATGTTTGATATTCTTTTTATATTTACACTAAGAAATTATGAAACATATTTTTATGAAACATGATCTGTACTTAATACTCTAATTACTTTTGGCATATAAGAAAAATCATTAAGAACCGTTCATTAATACCTTTACAATGTATTTTTGGCTAAAAATACTAACGAAACAGAAGTTTTGTGGGTCACAAATATTGGTTTGCTGCCTTTCTGTGACAAAGAAACAACTTATTGTGTTGATTTATTTTATTTTAAGATTTATTCTTATCCTTTTTGCCTTTATTATGATAGGATGGTATGTAAACGGCGAAATTGGTGAGAGAGAGAGAGAGAGAAATGGAGGGAATGGTGGGTTGGGAAAGGTCTGTGAGTCGGGACTCGAACCCTGGGCTCCTGAAGTGAAATGCTGCTATATATCGGCGTCTGGTGCCAAAATTGTGTATAAATAAGCAAATATTTCCAAGCATAAAAATTATTTCTGTATTTTTCGTCTTTCAGGATACCTCATTGGTTACATGTCTAATAAAAGCACAGGCAAAACTGAAATCAAGACAGATTGTCCGGTGTTTAGTGAGACGGCTCCGGTGAGACCAGAAATCGCTGTTTCGTTGGACTGGAGTGATCTCAGGGCATTGCTCAAAAGGAAACTGACAACTGAAAACATTAACAGCAACTTCAAGTAATTGCACACACACACACACACGTTTGTTTTTGTGAATTGTGAGGACATTACATAGGTTTCCATTGGTTTTATAAAATACTGTACAAACTGTATTTTGTATTGCCCTAACCTCACCCTACCCCTAAACCCTCACAGGAAACTTGTGTACAGTTTTACTTTCTGAAAAAAACTCATTCTGTTTCACTTATAAGCCTTTTGAGAAGTGTCCCATCAGCAGTGTCCTCATATTCCACCACTTTAATGTAACACCCGTGTCATACCAATGTAATTTATACCGCTTTGTGTCCTTATATGTCACAAAAACATGTACAAACGCTCACAATGCTCTAATTTATCCATACTGTAAGTTGATCTCAAATGTGTGTTTGTGTTTCTCTGCAGGGAGTTTTCTAGTCTCAGTCACCAGGCGGGAAGCTCAGGTGATGAGATGCTGGCTAATAAAATCATGGGGAAATTCAAAACATTGGGAATGAACCCCTGGACCGATGAGCACTATGTGAAAGTCCACGATCCCGGTGCATCCAATAACAGAGTGCTCTTCCGTAACAATGTGGTGGGAACAACCGAGGGCTATCTGGCCTACAGTGCTATTAAAACAGTGCAGGTTAGTTCTGACAGTAGTTTGAACAGGTCTTTCATATAGTCAGGGTCAGCATTATTAAAAAATAAATATAAATAATCCAGGATTTAACTCTAATATTTAGATTTTGTAATAGTACTGGGTTGCGGCTGCAAGGCCATCCGCTGTGTAAAAGCATGCTAGAATAGTTGGTGGTTCATTCTACTGTGGCAATGCCAATCAGGGACTTAGCCAAAGGAATCATTTGATTAAATATAAGAAACAGTACACTTGAGCTAAACAAAAGGATCTATAGACGTGTTAAGACGTTTTAAAAGTTGACTACAATAAAAAGACTTGATTTTAGTGCACTTTAAAAGCTACTAGTTGACTTCACTTTAAAATTGAGTAAATCCTTTGTAACTTGAAACTGTTAAGTTGGCGTAACTTAATATTTATAACTACTACATACAGTTACATACACTTAATTTACTTAACGTTCCCATGAACTGGAAGATGCGGTTCATATTGTGACGCAATACTTAGAGGAATAGAATATTAAAGGACAAAACAGTGGGCGTGGCTTGTTTTTACTGCAAGCTGATTGGATGTAGTAAAGAAACATTTCATTCAGAAAGAGCTGGAAAAATGTTTGGGGAAAGTTATTACAACCTAATGGATTCTTCCTGCTCACCATTTCTGTTTGTTGTCAAAACTGACAGTTGGAGCAGCGTGGTTAAATATGTTAGCCTCTGTTGGCGCCAGTGGTGTAGTGGTTAGTGAGTCGAAACATGCACTCACAGCGACCCGAGTTCGATTGCTGCATTTAATATGCCGATTCTTCCCCTCTCTCTGCTCCCCATGCTTTCCTGTCAATACTCTGTACTGTCCTATCAAATAAAGGTAAAAACCCTAAAAAATAATTATAAAAAATAAATATATGTATGTTAGCTACGCCCATTTGCTAAGATATACATAATCTGGCAGTTAAAAAAAAAACAGGAACTACATTTTCAGATTTCAATTAAAGATAAGAAGGGCAAACTATTTATTATTTTTTTAATAACATGCACAGATGAATTGTTCAGCACAAAACTAGGACTTTATTATTTTAATCACTACAGGTTTACTCACTTTAAAGGGATAAATCACCCCAAAAATACTCAATTGTTTCCAAAATTTCGATTGTTGAATGCAAAATAACATATTTTGATGAAAACTGAAAAGCTGTAACCATTGACTTCCATGATATGAAAAACAAATACGAAAGTCAATGGTTACAGGTTTTCAGCGTTCTTTAAAATATCTTCAACAGAAGAAACTCATCAAGTAAAGTAAAGAGAGAGTAAATGATGACAATTTTTATTTTTGATTGATCTATCTTTATCTTTAGTCAACTAATTGCTTATTAACAGTGGAAAGCTAATGATACAAAGCATGTTCTGTATTCAAGCCTTTAAATGTCACTTTAAGCTTATACTGGTGTCTTGATATCTAGTAAAATATTATTTACTGCGATCATGGCAAAGATATAAGAAATTAGTTATTAGAAATGAGTTTTTAAAACTATTACGTTTAGAAATGTTGATAAAAATCTTCTCTGTTAAACAGAAACTGGGTAAAAAGGGTGGGTTAATAATTCAGAGGGTTAGTAATTCTAACTGTATATGTATATAAAAAGTCAATGAATAATATGAGGTATTCCTTATTTCTTGTCAAATAGGGCGCAGCTCTGTATGCCCATTATGGACGGGCAGAGGATTTCAGACGCCTGCAAGAGGTCAGTGCTGATGTGAGTGAAAAGGTGGTCTTGGTCAGAGCTGGACTGCTCAGTTATGCTGAAAAGGTTGGTGATATCACACACTCATGTTTCATATTGAACAAATGATGATAATAATAACGATATTCAATATTAAGTAATATTCAAGCATATTCATCCCTTTGTTTTCATGCATTTGTTATAGGTTGCGAATGCTGCTAGCTTGAATGCTAGTGCCGTGCTGATTTACCCAGATCCTGTTAACTACCAAATTAAAGAAAACACTGCTCTTTTTGGCCATGTAAGTTGTAAAATTTTACCTTTATCCGATTATTTTCTAGCTGTAAAAAAACTAAAATGGTAACACTTTACTTAAAGAGGGTGTTTAAAAGACTGTCATGAACCCTTTAAAATCACTAATAACTAAAATGCTAACACTTGTTGGGGGTGTTCATAAGACTGTCATGAACTGTTTATAATCTCAAATAACTAAAATAGTAACACTTTACGTGAAGGGGGTGTTCATAAGACTGTCATGAACCCTTTATAATCACTAATAACTAAAATGCTAACACTTTACTTGAAGGGGGTGTTTAAAAGACTGTCATGAACCCTTTATAATCACTAACAACTAAAATGGTAACACTTTACTTGAAGGGGCTGTTCATAAGACTGTCATGAACCCTTTATAATCACTAATAACTAAAATGCTAACACTTGTAGGGGGTGTTCATAAGACTGTCATGAACCCTTTATAATCACGAATAACTAAAATACTAGCACTTTACTTGAAGGGGCTGTTCATAAGACTGTCATGAACTGTTTATTATCTCAAATAACTAAAATAGTAACACTTCACTTGTAGGGGGTGTTCATAAGACTGTCATGAACCCTTTATAATCATAAATAGCTAAAATGGTAACACTTTACATAAAGCGGGTGTTCATAAGACTGTCACTAACCTTTATAATCATGACTAAATAAAATAGTAACACTTTAGTTAAAGAGGTTGTTTATAAGGCTGTTATGAAATCTTAATAATCACGAATAACTAAAATGGTAAAACTTTACTTGAAGAGGGTGTTCATAAGACTGTCATGAACCCTTTAAAATCATGAATAGCTAAAATTGTAACACTTTACTTAAAGCGGGTGTTCATAAGACTGTCACTAACCTTTTTAATCATGAATAGCTAAAATGGTAAACTTTACTTTAAGGTGGTGTTCATAAGACTGTCCCAAAACCTTTATAATCATGAATGACACATCTTGAGTATATGGAGATTTTATGCATGCATATAACATTGGCCATTTGCTCAGCAACATTGTTTGAGAGCTCTTTATGACATCTTGACAAACAAAACGTCTTTTTCTTTATCATGACAACCTGAGATTACCATGATAGCATAGCTTATTGTATCATAAGTCTGTCCTAAACACAATTGTCATGTCATAACAGCATCATTAATGGTTTTTATTGACGTTAGCTAGTTGTACAAATTGAATAGGTCATTACAATGTTGTTAAATGTCATTAAATATACATTTTTAAATATATAACATAGTATTGTAAAATAGTTTGACAGAGTATTGACAATTTTACTGAGACATTTTGATGTCAAATTCAGTTTGTTCCACTGAAAAAAAAAATGATCAGAAAAATATTCCAGACACAATTTTAATGGCTTCATGACTATTATGTTTATGACAGATTTATGACATTCCTAATGTTAGCGCTACAAAAACCATTATACATGGCAAAGCATCAATTCCTATTACTTGTACATTTGAATGCCTTCTAGCTTGTTTTGGGACATTGTATTAAGATTTAGCAGCTTTAACATGCCTAAAATATTATCAATAAAGCACCACAGAGCTACAGTTTCCATTGAAATGAATACAGTTCTAATCATAACAATCATTAAAACTATTTCAGATTGCATGATGTTTGCATGTTTATCATGAGTTGATTTCTGATGTATTAAAATGCTCTTTCGTAGGTCCATCTTGGCACTGGTGACCCTTACACTCCAGGTTTCCCTTCATTCAATCATACCCAGTTTCCACCAGCTCAGTCTTCCGGCTTGCCCAGCATCCCAGCACAAACCATCACCACCAAACAGGCTTCTGAGATCATGAGGTGCATTATTATTCTCATTCTTTCCATTTACTTTCACTGTTGTTGTTACTGATATATCATTTAGTATTCCTATTGCATGTACTTCGAGCTGGGCACTTGTGTTTGTTCATTCATTTTCCTTTGGCTTAGTATTTTCTATAGTATTTGTTTTTCATACTATGTAAAACAATGGTTACACGTCTTTAGAGCAATTTTTTAAAACACTTAAGAAGATAGTTTGAAGAAAGCTAAAAACCTGTAATCATTGACTTCCATAATATTTGTTTTTCATACGATGTAAGTCTATGGTTACATGTCTTTATAATCCTTCTCAAAAACACTAAAGAAGATAATTTGAAGAATGCTAAGAACTGGTAACCATTGATTTCCATGGTATTTATTTTTCATACTATGCAAGTCAATGGTTACACATCTTAAGAGCACCAAAGAAGATAATTTGCTAAAAACCTGTAACCATTGACTTCCATAGCATTTGTTTTTCATGCTATGGAAGTCAATGGTTACATGTCTTTAGAACATTTCTTTAGAGCACTAAAGAAGATAATTTGAAGAATGCTAAAAACCTGTAACCACTGACTTCCATAGTATTTATTTTTCATACTATGTAAGTCAATGGTTACACACCTTCATAACCCTTCCTAAGAACACTAAAGAAGATAATTTGAAGAATGCTAAAAACCTGTAACCATTGACTTTCATAGTATTTGTTTTTCATATTATGTAAGACAATGGTTACACATCTTTAGAACATTTCTTTTAAACACTTGAGAAGATAGTTGCAAGAATGCTAAAAACCTGAAATCATTGACTTCCATAATATTTGTTTTTCATACTATGTAAGTCAATGGTTACACATCTTTAGGGCGCTTCTTAAGAACACTAAAGAAGATGATTTGCTAAAAACCTGTAACCATTGACTTTCATAGCATTTGTTTTTCATGCTATGGAAGTCAATGGTTACATGTCTTTAGAACATTTCTTTAGAGCACTAAAGAAGATCATTTGAAGAATGCTAAAAACCTGTAACCATTGACTTCTATAATATTTGTGTTTCATACTAAGTAAGTCAATGGTTACACATTTTCAGAACATTTATTTAAAACACTTAAGAAGGTAATTTGAAGAAAGTAAAAAACTGGTAACCATTGACTTCCATAGTATTTATTTTTCATACTATGTAAGTCAATGGTTACACATCTTTAGGGCGCTTCTAAAGAACAGTAAAGAAGATAATTTGCTAAAAACCTGTAACCATTGACTTCCATAGCATTTGTTTTTCATGCTATGGAAGTCAATGGTCACATGTCTTTTAAAACATTTCTTTAGGACACTAAAGAAGCTGATTTGAAGATTATTAAAAACCTGTAACCATTGACTTACATAGTATAAAAAATAAATACTATGGAAGTCAATGGTTACAGGTTTTGAGCTTTCTTCAAAGTATATTTCTTTGTGTTCAACAGAAGACAGAAACTCAAACAGGTTTGGAACGAGTAAAGAGGGAGTAAATGATGACATTATCCCTTTAAGATGCAAGTGATATTGTGGGGTTTCCATATCATGTATGAAAAAGCACTTAAAGCGCTACCCCCTGTCATCAGAAATGTTTGTTATGGGTTTCAGTGCTGACATATTTGTTCTCTTAACAGTAAGTTAGGTGGTCGAAGTTCCCCAAGAGAATGGAGTGATGGGATGCTCGCGGACACTCAGTACCTGCTCGGCGATAAAGATGACATCATCACAGTGGAAGTCAACAACGTCCTCGTTCAGAAAAAAATCCACAATGTGTTTGGAGTCATTAAAGGTTATTTGGATGCAGGTACTGTTTCCTGTTACACTATAAACAGATGTGTGAATTAAATGAATGGTTGATCCCATGCAGTCTCTAACCACTTGTTTTTGATTCTTTAGACCGCTATTTGGTGATCGGGGTCCAGAGAGATGCATGGGGTCCGGGATTTGCCCGAAGCACAGTTGGCACTAGTTTACTGGTGGAGTTGGCCAGAACTATCACAGACATGATCAAGAATGGTATGTTAGTAATGGCTTTTACAGTCATTGATTTCACAATTCTATATAATAAGACACGATATGTCATGTTTTGTTTAGCTGAAATATCTCTGTATTTATTTTGCTGACTTGTGTACTTGAAGAATGTTCAAATTTAGAGAAATATGCAATTTTAATTAGCAACCTTTCACTTAAAAGCCTTCCCTGTCTTCATACGACCATGCTAATATGTATTAAATGAAGACGACGACTCCCATGATTCCACACTCAGTCACGGTGTCTTCAAAATACACCTTTGTTTGTTGTGATTAAGCGCCCTCTAGTGGCAGAAATGACATATTGTCCCTTTGAAGGGATAGTTCACCCAAAAACCAAAATTTTTCTTACTATTTACTTACCTTTGAGTGGTTCTAAACCTTTGTTTCATTTTGCTAATGGACAAAAAGTAGGATTAAAAAAAAAAAAAAAAAAATTAGAAACCGGTAACCATTGACATACATTGAAGGAAAAACAACTACTATGGAATGACCTAATTTGACCTAACTTTCTGTTTTGGGTGAACTGTTCCTTTAATTAACTATAATGGTTATTCATTGGGAATAACTTAATGGTTTTAATTGCAACTGTCCTTTGCCAGATGGATTCAAACCAAAGAGGAGCATCGTTTTTGCAAGCTGGAGTGCTGGTGAATTTGGAGGTGTCGGAGCCACAGAGTGGTTGGAGGTTTGATTGCAATGTTGTCAGCAAATGCTTTACCAGAACAAGATCAAACACAATCAGAAAATAAGTACACTACCTGACAAAAGTCTTGTCATTGATCCCAGTTGAAAGAGCAGCAAATAATAACTTGACTTCTTGTTGATCATTTGGAAAAGTGGCAGAAGGTGGATTTTCCTGATGAATCATCTGTTGAACTGCATCCCAGTCATCACAAATACTGCAGAAGACTAGTAGTATTAGTACTAGTAGTGGGTACTACTACTGGAACCCACATGGGCCCATAATTCTCATAGAAATCAGTCAAGTTTGGTGAAGAAAAAAATCATGGTTTGGGGTTACATTCAGTATGGGGGTGGATGGCAACATCAACAGCCTGAGGTATCAAGACATTTGTGCTGCCCATTACATTACAAACCACAGGAGAGGGCAAATTCTTCACCAGGATAGCGCTCCTTCTCATACTTCAGCCTCCACATCAAAGCTCCTGAAGGCAAAGAAGGTCAAGGTGCTCTAGGATTGGCCAGTCCAGTCACCAGATATGAACATTATTGAGCATGTCTGAGGTAAGATGAAGGAGGAGGCATTGAAGGTGAATCCAGAGAATCTTGAAGAACTCTAAGAGTCCTGCAAGAACGCTTTCTTGGCCGTTCCAGATGACTTTATTAATCAGTGATTTGAGTCATTGCAGAGATGTGTGGATGCAGTCCTCCAAACTCATGATGGAGTCGTACACTATACACTATATTCATTCTTTCTCCACTGCAGCATGACTTTATATTCTATACTGGACATTATTTCTGTTAAGTCTAGTTATTATTTGGTTGTTTCTAAAAATGGATAGGCGACAAGACTTTTGTCAGATAGTGTATCTATAAAACAGTATTAAAAATGCATATAAAATATCGTTATATTTTATTTTAATAAAAGGCAAAAGTTATTGACATTGGGATATTATGTTTAATTAGGGTTGTTAATGCAGTTTGGGAGAACATTTTTATTATGATTTGTTTATGTTGTTATTTTTAATAATAATATTAATAATATTAATTATAACAATGTTTTTAAGTTTGACACTATATGTATAATTAACAGTGATAGTCATTCGTTCTTTTATTTATTTATTTTATTTTTGTTGTTTTTTTGTGCAAAATTTAAAATCTTAAATTTTGTTCTGTGTGATTTTAAAAAGGTCTAAAAAATGCAAGATACCCTGCTGTACTGTACGTAATTAATAGAACTCATTTGTTTTTTTTTCGTTTTGTACCCACAGGGTTACCTGAATTCTTTGAATTTGAAGATGTTTTCTTACATCAGCCTCGATGACCTCATCTCAGGTTTGTGAGAAGTCATGTCTTGAAGATCTGATTATAGCCCCCTCTTGACTGTGATCATCTGGTGTTTCTCTTTAGGTTCGGACTCTTTCAAAGCTGCTGCCAGTCCACTGCTGTATGATTTACTGGAGAGCACAATGAAGCAGGTGAGCTTCCACACATGCTCAATATTAGCCGTTTGGCGTGTTTTATCTGTTCTATAAAGAGAAATAACCTTTTTATTTGTCATCATACAGGTCTCATCTCCAACCGATTCAACCAAATCCTTGCATGAACAGTTTGCAGGATCCAACTGGGAGAAGTCTGTGTACGTCTGTCACACATTACTCTCATTTTCAGCTTTATTATTTGTATTACGTGTGACCCGTGACCCTCAAACCAGTTTTTTATTTTCTTTTGCACGGGTATATTCATTCATTCATTCATTCATTTTTCTTTGGCTTAGTTCCTTTATTCATCAGGGGTCGCCACAAGGAATGAACAGCCAACTTATCCAGCATACGTTTTACACATCGAATGCCCTTCCAGCTGCAACCCAGTAATGGGAAACACCCATACACTCTCACAATTCAATTCACCTATAGCGCATGTGTTTAAACTGTGGGGGAAACCGGGGCACCCGGAGGAAACCCACGCCAACATGGGGAGCACATGCAAACTCCACACAGAAATGCCAACTGGCCTAGCAAGGACTCGAACCAGGGACCTTCTTGCTGTGAGGCGACAGTACTAACCACTAAGCCACAATGTCGCCCTGCACGGGTATATTTTTGGCAATAATCAAAAATACATGATCAATTTTTCCTCTATTGTAAAAATCTTTAGAATTTTAGGTAAAGATCAGACTTCTTAAAGACATTTTGTAAATTTTCTTAATTTAAATAAATCATAACGTCATTTTTGATTAGTATTATAAATTTAGCTAATCACCTTTTTTAGACAACTCGAAAGGTGATTTTCTCAATATTTTAATTTCTTTTTTCAAATGCTTAGATTTCAGATATCAAATAGTTTTATCTCAGCTAAATATTGTCCTGACAATCCATACATTAATAGAAATATGTATTTTTACTGCTTTCAGTTAATCTATTACATTAATTTAAAAATAAAATGTACACTTTTTTTACTGGTTTTGTGGTTCAGGGTCACATTTACATACTATTGTTATAAAAAAGCTGAAACAACACATTTCTGGTGTTTAGGACAACTTAATTGCTTTCAATACACTTAAATTTTCATTTAAAATGTTAGTCACATTTATATACCATATTTAATGATATTTTATATAATTAACTTTACATTATTTAATATATATATATATATCAGTATGATTATTACATTTTTAAAAGTAAGCTTCTCCTGCTCACTAAGGATTAATCAAAAATCCAGTACAAATTGTAAAATTGTGGAAAGTTATTGCAAAAGTTATTATTATAAAATAACTGTTCAAAAGTAGTTTATAATTTAATTTAATAATTTATTCCAGTGATTTAAATGATGAATTTTCAGCTGGTGGTAGCTTAAATGGTAATAGTAATAAAAGCAATAATGATTGAAGTTATAATTTCTTTTAAAAATACATACAATAAGTAATATATAAAAATTAAGTTATTAAACTATAACTTAACAATGTAACAATTTTTTCACATTTAATAAATGGTGCCATGATGAACAATAATTTTCAAAAAAATAATAAAAATAGGCGCAGTAGGTAGTGCTGTCACCTCACAGCAAGAAGGTCGCTGGGTCGCTGGTTCGTGGTATATGTATATATATATGTATATATATATATATATATATATATATATATATATATATATATATATATATATATATATATATATATATATATATATATATATGTGTGTGTGTGTGTGTGTGTGTGTGTGTGTGTGTGTTTATGTGTGTGTTTATGTGTGTGTGTGTATATATGTGTGTATGTATATACACACACACACACACACACATATATATGTTTGTGTGTGTGTGTGTGTGATCCTATATATATATATATATATATATATATATATATATATATATATATATATATATATATATATATATATATATATATATATATATACACACACACACACAGTTGATGTCAGAATTATTAAACCCCCTGAATTATTACCCTCCCCTGTTTATTTATTTTTACAATTTCTGTTTAACGGAGAGTAGATTTTCTCAACACATTTATAAACATTATAGTTTTAATAACTCTATATAATAATATCTATAATAATTTCTAATAACTGATTTATTTTATCTTCACCATGATGACAGTAAATAATATTTGACTAGATGTTTTTCAAGACACTTCTATACAGCTTAAAGTGACATTTAAAGGCTTAACTAGGTTAATTAGGTTAACTAGGCAGGTTAGGGTAATTAGGCAAGTTATTGTATAACGATGGTTTGTTCTGTAGTTTATTGAAATTAAATTAGCTTAAAGGGGCTAATAATTTTGACCTTAAAATGGTGTTTAAAAAATTATTCTTATTATTGTTTATTCTTGCCAAGATAAAACAAACAAGACTTTTTCCAGAGGAAAAAATATTATTAGACATACTGTGTACATTTCCTTCCTCTGTTAAACATCATTTGGAAATATGTTATATATGACAAAAATCATTTGGAAATATGTAATATATGACTTCAACTTTATTTTTGTAATTATTAATTTATTTATTACATTTGTTTAACTTTAGTTTTATCAGTTCATGAATTTTTTAAAATATGTATATATATATATTTTTTTATGTTAGTTTTAGTAATTTTACTACTTCACTATAAAAAAGTAAAATTTTATTTCAGTAAGATGACCAGGCAACTCTTGTAATTTTGATTTGTATTTTACTTTAATTAACTTTATTCAATTTATAGAAATACTTTTTAAAAGCTTTAATCAATAACAAAATTTTTAACATTTTTTTTTCCTCTCAGGATTGAGCCCATGGGTTTGTCTCACCCTTCCTATGCGTTCCAGACCTTCTCAGGCATCCCGTCACTGTCATTTCGATTTTTTACAGTGAGTCTTCTGTTTATTTCTGAAGATGCTCAAAATACATACATACAGCATGTTTTATTCTGAAATGAAACACCTGCCTCATCTGTTACAGAATTCAAGGTTTTACCCGTTTGGTACATTCGAGGATACCAACCAGAATCTAGATCTGTTCACGTCCCGCAAGACTTTGGTGCTGGCCAAGGCGGCCGGTGAGGTGGCAGGACTGGTCACTCTTCGGCTGGTGCATGACCACTTGCTCAAGCTCAACGTGGCAAAGTACACCACCATCATCCGCAGCTACGTGTCCCAGATCAGGTCTAAAGTTGAATCACGCCAAATGGTGAGTTTGTATACGGCAGATGCAAACAGCTTTAACTTGGAGTTTGTTCTATCCATCTTATTTTTCACAAAAATGTGTGAAGACTTGCTGACTTTTAGCTGTATAAAAGAGATTACACTGCTTGATGTTGCAAACTGCTATTTTTGTATTATATTATTTATTTATGTATTTGATTTGACACATTCTGATTGTTGAAATGGTCTTTCTCACAAAACGCAAATGTGAGGCGCATCACTTAGGCTTTAAAAATTGTGTCCAATCATAATGTACAATGTTTATTTACAATGCTCGCTCACATTGATATTCTAGAAGTGAATAATCAAACAAAGTCTGACCATTGGCCTTTACGCTTGGAATTGTGGTCCTTCTGTTGACGTACTGTAAACCGGAGTGCTTCCATAGCAACTGTATATCAATAACCTTAGCCATGCTTCTCTGACTGTTAGTTTGGTATGATAGAATAATGCTCCGAATAAAGCCCTACTCAATATTCAGTTTGAGTACTAAAAGTTGGAAGTACATCAAAATACTGAAATAAATCTCATCAACTTCTGGTTCACACAGATTTTAATAAAAGTACCTCCTCTGCCATGTTTTTGTCCAACTAAAACAGTTGTCTTGTCGACTTGCTACTGTAAACAGAAGCTTGCAGTGCTTGTCTCACTGCTTTGGAACTGACATTGTTGAGTGGTGCTGTGTGCAAAACTTCACATTATTGTAACTTGACATGGCATTGTAAGAACGCGAGGAGCTGCAAGTCGTGAGTATAAAGGGTGCGTGTCCACCGATGCGCTTTTTCCTCAAGCTAAGTGTTTGTTTTCTGTTGGGTCCAAAAGTAGTGCTGAGTTATTTGAGCACCTCTACAGAAAAATCCAGCTTAAACCAGCCTAGGCTGGTTTTAGCTGGTTGACCAGCCTGGTTTTAGAGGGGTTTTGGCCATTTCCAGGCTGGTTTCCAGCCATTTCCAGCCTGGTCATAGCTGGTCAGGCTGGGAGATGACCATCTAAAACCAGCTTGACCAGCCTAGCCAGGCTGAGAGCCCAGCCAAAACCAGCTATGTCCAGCTTAAACCAGGCTGGTCAAGCTGGTTTTAGCTGGATTAAGCTGGTCATTTTTCAGCCTGACCAGCTAAGACCAGGCTGTAAATGGCTGAAAACCAGCCTGGAAATGGCCAACACCCCTCTAAAACCAGGCTGGTCAACCAACTAAAACCAGCCAACCAGCCTAGGCTGGTTTAAGCTGGATTTTTCAGCAGGGACTGCAGCATATGAGGCACTGAGCAGGTGTTTTACTTTCAGCGCTGAATGCTGCACCCATCATTGTCACTTTTGAGCTAGTCGCCCAATCACAGTGGAGGAGGGGTTGGACAATACCACGCAACTTGTAACAGTATATGGGGGACACTCATTATCATAGCAACCGACTGAAAAACCTGCTTCACTGCAAAAACATAGACAGCTGTGATAAAAACAAAACACCATTGGCTGTTTTTATAAAGGGGAGGGGCCTGTCTTCATATTTAAGTTGAGATTGTCAAATTCTGAATAAGAAATGCACATTTCAAGCACTTCAATGGACCTTTAACACATTCAGAGAAAAGAACTTGCTCTCTGATAGAGATACCTGTGAAGTACAGTAAGTTTTAATATTCTTTTGTATTTTATGTTAAAGTCTGGCCGCCTTCCTCCAACGTTGACAATGCAGTGGCTTCTGTCAGCTCAGGGTTCATATGATCGTGCTGCGAGCGCTCTTACTTCTGCCATCCGAAACAGCGATCTTGATGACATGGAGCAGTGTCGCATCATCAACAATCGCATTATGAGGGTAAGGAGCACTTGTCATGCCATTTCTGCTTTTCTGTAGTGACCTATGTTCTGTTGGAAAAGGATGGGATGGAACTAGCATGGTTTGTACGGGTGCTGGAAAAGGTTTTGAAGTTTGAAAGTGCTTTAATTTTGGAGAAAGTGCTTGGAAATGTAATTTTGTTGCTTTCGTATTGATTTATCTTACTAAATAGGTAAATACAGCTGGGAAAATAGGTATTGAACACGTCAACATATTTCTAAAGATGCTGTTGGCTTAATTTTCACTTGATGTTGGTAACAACTGAAGAAATCCAATTGAACACAAGAAGAAAGGAAAGTGTATGTTCGGCAGTGAAAGCCCAGACAGCAGCTGAAATCTCTCAGTAGTTCTTCAGCAATCCTCTGCCCTTCGTCATTGTAAATGAATATCGGCTCCTTCAGTCCAACGTCTACATTATCAGGATGATGAAGATGAAACCAGGGTGGACATTTCAGCAAGACAATGATCCAAAACACAGCCAAGGAAACTCTCAAAATGCTTTTAGAGAAAGACAATCAAGCCGTAGAATGGCCAAGCCAAACACTTGACCTGAACCCAATATAGAAAATACAAAATAAAGCTCGGATTTGATAGACCAGACCCACAGGACTATCAAGATTTTGGCACTCTGTTGAAGTCTGTTGAAAACTCACACCTCTAGTTGGGACCATTGCTTTTGTTTACATCTCTCAAAATGGTCTAAATCAAAAACTTTAACCATTTCCCTTTTACTGTTAGTTAGCTATGAAAATGATGCTCAAAAGAAAGCCCCGCCCTCTACTCAATATACAGTTTAAGTTGGAAGTACATCAAAATTCTGAAATAAAAGTTTCAGAAACTTCCGGTTCACGCAGACTTGTCTCTCAACACTATTCTCACCTCTGAGTTCTTCTGATTGCTCCATTGCTTTGGAACTGACATTTTTGGGTGGTGCTGCATGTAAAACTTGCAATCCTTTAAACTTGACATGGTGTCTTAAAAACATAAGGTGCTGCAAAAGTCATGAGTGTCCATCGAAGCGTTTTTTTCTTGAGCTGAGTGCTTGTTTTCTGTTGTCAATTGTAGTGCTGTGTTTTTTGAACACCTGCAGAATGATCCAAACCGCAGTCAAGGAAACTCTCAAATGCTTTCAGAGAAAGAAATTCAACCTGTAGAATGGCCCAGCCAATCACCTGATCCGAATCAGATAGAAAATACAAATTAATGCTAACCTTAACCCACAGGTGTCAAACTCAGTTCCAAAAGGGCCGCAGCTCTGCACAGTTTAGTTCTAACCCTAATTAAACACACCTAATTAAACAAACTAATTGAGTCCTTCAGGCTTGTTTGAAACCTACAGGTAAGTGTGTTGGAGCAGGGTTGGAACTAAACTGTGCAGGGCTTCGGCCCTCCAGGAATTGAGTTTGACATCCCTGCCCTAACTCATTGGATTGACAACACCCACGGGACCATCAACTCTGTTAAAGTTTGTGAAAAACTCACACCTGAGCAATTCATGTGACTTCATTCTCCATATGAGAGCCATCTTTAAGCCACCACCATTAAAAAAGCCTTTTATATGAGGTAATAATTATGATTCTGTAGTTCAGTACTTTATTTTCGTGTCATTCCACTGGTAATACACGTAATTCATTTTACAGATTTTTACAAATTTTTTATTTTATTTATCGGTTGGAATTGTTTTTTTTCCCCTGAAATCTAGTTCAATTCCTATGTCAACCGCTCCTTTTGAACGAAAACATGACGTGTTCAATGCTTATTTCCCCCACTGTATTTGATTTACACAGTTGTCTTGTGAAACAATGTTCATATTAAAGGAAGGAGTTGTGAAATGGAAATGATTCTCTGCTCACGTTCGCACGTTGTGTCTATTTTAAGGTGGAAGGCAGTCTGCTCTCTCCATACGTGTCTCCCCGTCAGACTCTGTTCCGGCACATTCTGCTGGGCTCCGGCTCGCACACACTGGCAGCTCTGCTGGATCACCTCGAAGCCATTAAAGGAGGCCTGGAATCTGCTGACATCGACCAGTTCAAGAACCAGTTCGCTCTCGCCACCTGGACCATCCAGGGCTGTGCCAATGCGTTGGCAGGGGAAGTCTGGGATTTGGATAATCAAATTTAGCTTCAGCTCACCTCTTTAGGTTTACAACTGTTTTCCATCAGTCAAGACAATACAAACAAAATGATATTGGTGCTCTATTTACATGAATTTTATGGTTAGGTTTAGCTCACTATTTAAAGCAGTAGTTGACCAAAACGTTATTAAAATTTATCAAGAATTCAAGAATTTATTCTGTGGTACACAAAATAAGGATCATTTGAATGTACTAGTTGCTGTTTTCCAAGAAGTTACCTAAGCTTTCAAGCTTCAAAATTGCGTAACTTATTATCAAAGTAGTTTATATCATTAATTTGTCCTCTAAACATAAATATGTTTCTTTTTAAATGAGGTCAATGTACAAAAAAGCTGGTTAAGTATGTCCCTTTACAGTAGTCTACCGTATTTAACATTTGAAGAGAATCAAAAGTGTTTATCGAAATTGTCCTATTACAAGAAATGGGTGTTGTGAAATTGTATTGGAACATTTTCGATTAAAAGGTTTTGGTCCACTTCAAATGTTGACTACTGTAGTTTATTAAATCAAAAGTTTCGGTCTCAACAGTATTTATTTATAAAAATAAAAATAGGCTTAAGTTAGACAATCAAAGCTGCGTCCGAAATCATACACTACTCAAATAGTTACTACATTTGAATTTGAATATTGACTTCACAACCTTTAGAAAAGTACGCTCTATATAGTATGAAATAGGGCTGGGCCAATTATTGACATTATATCGCGATAAAATTCATGTCAATAACAATGATAAGCTCTTGACTTTTTTTACTCTATTTTAATCCAAGAGCCAATCACACAGCAGAAATGTGCAACAATGGGAAAAGTGTGTCTATATTATCGGCCAAAAATGTGTTATGCCATTTATTGCACCCTCTAATTTTTGCGGCTTCTGCCATTGTTGGGGTGCTCTTTGGAAGCATTAACAACTTCTATCGAAATATATATTGTTATCGTTCAATATGGAAAATATTGAATTTTTGCCATATCGCCCAGCCCTAGTATGAATGCGTCTAGTATGAATGGAATTGGGACGTACTACATCCGCTAGTTAGCATTCACATGACCTACCCACGTCTCTTCACTCCCATTTCAGAAATTCTATCACGCAGTATAATAGGATAGCGTAGCGTCCATTGGATGCACAATACAAAATCTTGCCGGAAGTAGTAGTTACTTTGTTTTTAGTCCAAATACCAAAGAGATGTGTAAATCAAGAAGCATTTTCTAGACAAGCAAATCATATTGTCTTGTTTTAAGAAATAATATGCTAAAATAAACAGATTTTTCCCCCTTAAAACATGCAAAAAATCTGCCAATGGGGTAAGCTAAATAATCTTGTTTTTCCTTTGGGTATAAGATTATTTTGCTTACCTTATTGGTAGATTATGTTGCTTGTTTTGTCAAACAAATCACTTAATTTTGGTTTATTATTTATTAAAACAAGACATTATGATTTGCTTGTCTATAAAATGCATCTTGATTGATGAATTTTGAGATTTTCGGACATAAAAACAAGAAAAAAAATTTAAGAAAAGCATATTTTGAATCTTCATCATTTTTTCAAATACTTTGAATTCAGACATACTACACAGCTCGTGTACTGTTTTACACATAGGGAAGTATGCAATTTTGGACGCAGCCTCGGCCAGTGACATTATAAATTTTCTAACCAAGCACAGTATTTTTCCAATTTTCCAGCGGGATACACTTATTCAGGAGCATTTCCAATCAGGTCTGTAAGGTAATAGAAAAACGCTTCCTGTATTTATTAGTATTTATTAGTTTTTTTTTATTTATCAGTGACAAGGATCACTATAAATAGCATTTTGTAACGCCTTTTTTAACAAATGTATAATTATCGGAAGCAGTGCCTTCCATAATTATGACAGTTATACTGTCGACATATGAAAGCAGCATCTGCTATGGAGAAAACCTTGTTTTCAAAAGCCGTGACCAGAGACTGACACATATTCTTTCTTTAATCTATTACAAGCTATTTTCAGAAAGTGACTGGTGTCTTGTAGTCCTCATGAACATGGGTATTTTAAAAAACACACTTTTTTCTGCTGTTTGTCTATATAATTGTGTAACTGTATTGACTGATACCGAACCATGTGGTTGTGAACACTACGATTGGAGTTCTCGAACCATAACTAGGGATGGCCGACGTGAAACTGACGTTTCGACACGCTGTCGAGATCAGGAAGCGAAAGTGTTTTAAAACACCTCACCGAAGCATGATCTGAAACACATAGGTCACATGACTGAAATATTTCGAAACACCAGGTCACATGACTAAAGCGATTTAAATCATCATTCATTTCAGAAGCGCTTTAAGACCAGGCGAATCCGCATTTGACTGACTGGGTCGGAAAAAAAACGATTTCATGTAGCCTAGTAGAGTAACTGTGCAGCAAATGTATCGCGTTCAAATTCCAACTTGTACATATACTCTAAAATGATGACGTGATGTATTTTAATAAGGTTACTTTTTTATGATCAAAACAAGAAATATTTATTCGCAAAGTGTTTATTCGTTAAATGTTAAAACAAAACATGTTACAAGAACAGAGCATTTAAAAACTAACATCTATAGCTGCATCACCCTGGATTCGAACTTCACTAAATCACTTGAAACCTCAACTCTAAAACGTGGAGTATAATTCCTTAATTTACGCAATGCATAAAAAGCAATACACAAATGACCACTAGGTGTCACTGTAGAGAGGAGTTTCATAACGTTTCGAAGCTTCGACATATTTGCTTCGAATGTTTCAGTGTTTCATGAAGCCTCGGTTTGCCCACCACTACCCATAACATCAGCATGCGTGCTGTTTTCTCCTTTCTGATTGGCCAACACGGCTGAGTTCACACCAATCGCAAAAGACGCGAAGGAGGTAAATTCCGAACATTTACGAGAAACACACCACTGTATTTCATGTCATTAACAACGCAGGACACCAATCATCTTTAGTGTTGTCACGATACTGGAATTCGATACTAATCGGTACTGGAGTTTTTAAAACATCCCTTTCCTGCTAACATTTGAGCGCATTCTCAAACAGCGCTGATTTGCTATTATGTTCACGTGTTTAACAGAAATGACTGTGATTGGCCGTGAAGGCCATCAGCGGTAAGTTTGGTGAACTGATGACCTTCACGGCCAATCACAATCCTTTCTGTTGAGCATGTAAACACAATGGCAAATCAGCGCTGTTTAAGAACACACTGAACAACGCTCGAATGTTAGTGGGAAATAAACGTTTTTAAAATTTCAGTACCGATTAGTATCGAATTCCAGTATCGTGGCAAAACTAAGTTCTCATGTTTGCATCGACTTGTATGCGATTACGAAAATGTTTAATTCCTTGTTATTGCGGTGTCAATGTCGCCCCCTATTGGTTCAGCGTACCCTTTAACATGCATCACAGTGCGTTTTCATGTCGACTGAGATTTTATTTAAATTGAAAGCGGGAAAAATTCGGTTTATAAAAATACCCATGTGTATAGTCTCTGGGATCCTCCTTTTGAATCAATGTTGTACCTGATCCAGAATCATTATCGGGAGCAGTGTCTTCCATAATGCGAAGAAGATGATGGTAGTTTTTGCCTACCGATGTGTTGATATCGAGGGCAGTGCCCCTCATATTTCACTGTGGCGTGGATGTAATTATCGGGAACAGTGTTTCCCATGATGATGTACAAATCGTCTGTATTCACACACTCTTGCCATACTATAGTTCTCTGTTGTGAGTCAGTTTCTCATTACCGATCAAGCGCTGTTGCCTTCTTCTGCCTTGGATTGATCAAACATGGAGTGGAGACTCCATAAGATCCTCTTATAAGCTTCTAGAAGATTCTGTTCTGTTCTATAATTATTATTATCATTCGGTTTTCGTATTTTGTTTGTTTCTGGTGCAGTATCGACTTATTTGTGCCTTGTAGATTAAGATGAAGCTTACCTCTTTTCTCTGTGTGTATTTAACTTCCGCCAGATTGTATTGATCTCCATCAAACAGAGTAAGTTGTGAAGCTGTTTAGCCTGTTGGATTTAAAGGGATAGTTCACCCCAAAATAAGACATTTTGCTGTCTTACGGCAATTTGTAACTTTGATTTTCCTATGAATTCATTTGATTACATTCCTACAGTTTTGTATGATTTGCTAATCTCTCAATGATGGGTTTTAGGGGATTTAGGGGTGGGGTTTGGTGCCACGCCTCATTTTTAAAATCATACATTTTTGTACGACTGAATTCATACAAATTAGCCACTAAACTGACAAAACTTCACATAGTTATGTTTCCTCTTGTGTTCAGGCTGCATATTTTCTCAATATTTACTCAAATTGAATAAAATGTATTTCTTTTTTAACACAAAACAAGATATTCTGAACAAAAGCAGCCATTGACACGTAATTAGAACCGAAAATACTACAGAAGCCACTGATGTTTTTGTTTATTTCCCCCATTGTTTAGTATATTATTGTGTTATTTAGTATATTATTGCTTTGAAACAAGCAGAGGAGGAGTAAATGATGACAGAATGCTCATTTTGGGGTAAAATATCTCTTTAATAATTCTCTAACGCCCCATTCACACGGGGCATCAGCTTCAACGCTTCTTATTCACTTTAAATAGGTGACGTCAGGCGTTACCCAATTGCATTGTGGATGAAAGCGTCAGCCAATCAGATTGCTGTATGCAAATACTTCAGCTCAGACAGTGGCCTATTGCTGACTAATTTTATTGGCTGACGCTGCTATGACGATCGCATTAGTCTCAACTTCAGACACGCCCTCTGTCAAGCGTTGACGCTGAAGCCCCGTGTGAACGGGGCGTAATGGTGCAGTTATATGATAGCAAGAGATGGTAAGATCCTATTAAGAGCTTCTAGAAGATTATTGTCTGTTCTGCTATTACTCGGTTTTCGTATTTTATTTCGTTCTGGTGCAGTATTGACTCATTTGTGCCTTGTAGATTTACCATTTGTTTTTCTTTCTTTTCTTTTTGTTCCTTTCTTTGTGTATTTAACTTTCCTCTGATTGTATTCATTTTCTTCAGAGTAAATTATGATGTTTTAATAAGGTAGTTCACCCAAAGATGGACATTTCCTCACACTGAAAGTTATAGTTCACCCAAAAATGAACATTTACTCACTATTTACTCCACCCTCAAATTTCTTTGTTCTGTTAAACGCAAAAGACGACATTTTAAAGAAATCTATAACCCCCTAATGTTTAGCTTTCTTTAAAATACCTTCATTTGTGTTCAGAAGAACAAAGAAGAGTGAGTAAATGATAGAATTAAAAAAATTTTGGTGAACTGTCCCTTTAATATTTCCCTAATGGTGCAGTTATATCCTGGCTGTCAGAAGAGAGATTAAAATAAGAGTTGTAGTTGAAAAATATTTATTTAACGAAAAAAAAACACATATATGTAAAACGTTAAAGTATATATAGCTGGAACAGAAGCTATATTATGTGGAATATATAGAAATGAGAATTAAATATTATCCTTCAACGTCAGTTTCATGATTGTTTATAAATGCACATCTTGTCAAATGTTTCTAAAGCTTGCTGTTGCGTCGGTAGTGGCTTTATTGTAGACACACTTCATTTACTTCATGCACTGAATCTCAGTTTTATTTGATGTCTGCAAGTGATTAATAAAAAAGTTTGAACAAACTGGTTTAAAGTGTCAAGACTATTCTGTGACGTCCTAAACTCAGGAGTGAAGTATAGCAGTTCTCATCAATGATTACTGACAGAACTGACTGTAGAATTAATATTTTTCATTGCATGTTTAACCTCTAATTAATTTAAGACTAAATTCAGTGATTAATTGTATTCTTAGTCAGTGTGTCACCAATATTGACCAGGACATTTAACACTAAATTATTCAATTATCATTTGTTATCGTAGTCTGCATTTTTTAAATATTGAGAACATTTTAGACTAAATTATTCAATTATTATTTGTTATCTTAGTCTGTTTCTGAAAAACTGAAGGCATTTAAGACTAAATTATTCAATAAATTATTCAATTATCATTTGTATTGTTAGTCAGCGTGTCTCCAATATTGACCATGGCATTTAACACTAAATTATTCAATTATCATTTGTTATCTTAGTCTGCATTTTTTTAAATATTGAGAACATTTTAGACTAAATTATTCAATTATTATTTGTTATCTTAGTCTGTTTCTAAGAAACTGAAGGCATTTAAGACTAAATTATTCAATAACTTATTCAATTATCATTTGTTATCTTAGTCTGCGTTTTAAAAATATTGAGGACATTTAAGACTAAACTACAGTGTAAAAAAAAAATCATAATTTTACGGTTTATTTCCGGCAGCTGGGGTGCCGGAAAAAAAGTAAAATACCGGCTGTTAATTTACGTAAATTTACTGTAAAGTAAAAGAGGTTAAATGACAGAAATTTAATAGAAATTAAAATTAAAAGAAATTTCTGTAATTTAATGTTCGTTATTTTACAGTAAATTTCTGTAATTTAATGGCTGTTATTTTACTGTAAATTTCTGTAATTTAATGGCTGTTATTTTAGTATTATTATTTTTTTTAATAAATCGTAAAATTACGGATTTTTCTTTTTTTTTTTACAGTGTATTAAACATTATTCAATTATTATTTATCTTAGTCTGCATTTCTAAAATATTGAGGACATTTAACACTCAACTATCAAACAAATTATTCAATTATGATTTGTTATCTAAGTCTGGGGCGACACGGTGGCACAGTAGGTAATGCTGTCGCCACACAGCAAGAAGGTCTCTGGTTCGAGCCTCGGCTGGGTCAGTTGGCATTTCTGTGTGGAGTTTGCATGTTCTCCCCGCGTTCGTGTGGGTTTCCTCCGGGTGCTCCGGTTTCCCCTACAGTCCAAAGACATGCGGTACTGGTGAATTGGGTAAGCTAAAATTGTCCTTAGTGTGTGTGTGTTGAGGCATGTGTGTTTCCCAGTGATGGGTTGCAGCTAGAAGGGCATCCGCTGCATAAAACATTTGCTGGATAAGTTGGCGATTCATTCCGCTGTGGCGACCCCAGATTGATAAAGGGACTAAGCCTAAAAGAAAAGGAAGGAATATATTAGTCTGTTTCTAAAATATTGAGGACATTTAAGACTGAATTATTAAATCAATTATTATTTGTTATCTTGGTCTGTTTTTTCTAAAGTATTGAGTACATTTAACACTAAGCTATTAAACCAATTATTCAAATATTATTTGTTATCTTAGTCTGCGTTTCTAAAATATTGAGGACATTTAGGACTAAGCTATTAAACAAATTATTCAATTATTATTTGTTATCATAGGCTGCGTTTCTGAAATAATGAGGAAATTTAAGACTAAATTATTTAAGTATTGTATTATTTGTTATCTTAAGTCTGTATATCTCAAATATTGACTATAGGACATTTAATGATTAAATAAATAAATTCATTATTATTTGCTAGCTCGGGCGAGGCAGTGGTGCAGTAGGTAGTGCTGTCGCCTCACAGCAAGAAGGTCGCTGGTTCAAATCCCGGCTCAGTTGCCGTTTCTGTGTGGAGTTTGCATGTTCTCCCTGCCTAAATTGTCCGTAGTGTAAGAGTGTGTGAATGTGTGTGTGGAGGTTTCCCAAAGATGGGTTGCGGCTGGAAGGGCATCCGCTGCGTAAAAAAACTTGCTGGATAAGTTGGCGGTTCATTCCGCTGTGGCGACCCCGGATTAATAAAGGGACTAAGCCGACAAGAAAATGAATGAATAAATATTTGCTATCTCAGTCTGTGTCTCACAAAACTGACCAGCACATTCAAGACTAAATTATTAAACAAACTGTTAAATTATTAGTCTGTGTGCATCACCGCCATTCTCCAAAATGCAAAGTAGAATAAATAAACATTTGATTTTTATTGTTAAAATACACATTGACTATCCGTCAGCAAAAGTAGAAGCTGTGTTCATATAAGCTTGTCCCTAAAATGTAAAATCCAAGGCTTTCACACTGTTAGACATCCAATGTTATGCATTTCAGTTTGCTACAGTAAATACACACAACTGATACTTCATTATATTCTAGAAGAGTATTTGTATGTAGTATAGTCCTGTTTGCAGTTCTATAAATGACCACATGGTAGAACTAGAGTACTTTGAAGTGTTCTCATTTAAAGGGACAGTTCACCCCAAAATGAAAATGCTGTCGTCATTTACTTACCCTTCACTTATTCCAAGCTTAAAAGTTTCTTGTATTTTAAAGAGTGTTGGAATCTGGAAATCATTGACTTCCATAGTATCCCCAACCTCCCCCTACAACAGGGGTGTCAAACTCAGTTCCTGGAGGGCCGCAGTTCCAACCCTGCTTCAACACACTTACTAATAGGTTTCAAACTAGCCTGAAGGACTCAAATAGATTGATCAGGTGAGTTAAAAAAAGGTTGGAAATAAACTGTGAACAGCTTTTGACACCTGTGTGCCCTACAATGATTGTCAATGACTGCCTATTTTTTCAACATTCTTTAAAATATCTTCTTTTGAGTTTAACTGAAAAAACAGAACCTAAGAAATTTTAAACCACCTGAGAGAGAGCAAATTGTGATTAAAATGACATTTCTGGGTGAGCTATCCCTTTGATAGACTATTTTCTTATTACAGCCACACTGTAAAACCCAATGAGTTAAGGTAACTCAAACCATTTGAGAAAACCGTTTGCAACAAACCATTTAAGTTCAAAAACTAATCCTAATGAGTACTGTAAACTTAATCCATTTAAGTAAATGAAGCAATTTGAGCACAGTAAAACACGATAAATGAACAGGACTCAAACCAACTGAGTACTGTAAACCTCAATAAGTTAAGGCAACTCAAACCATTTGAAGAAACCAATTGCTACCAAGCATTTGAGTTAAAAACTAATCTATAAGTACTGTGAACTCTATTTACTGTAAGTTGAAGTAATGAGGTATTTAATTAACTTATTACATTCAACACTGAGTTCAAAACTCTTCAAATGAGTAGAATTAACTTTCAGTAAATTTTAAGTTAACTACACTTGTTTCATTTGATGAAGTTGACTGTTGGGTTTTACAGTGCATGTTTTATTAAGTCAATGTTCTTTAAGTTTAATCCAAACCTTATAACGAAGGTCAAAAATACATTTTGCTCTGTTTTAACCCTTCAACAGCCTGTTCTACCAAATGGTAAGACTGTTAATAATGGCTATTAAAGTAATTTAAAGAATGACTAAAGAATGATTTTAATAATGATTTACACACAGAGCATTGTTGGTTTACAAAAAAAAAAATCTAACATCCTGTTGCACTACTACACTTGATTTTGGTTTTATTGAAGAAAAAAAAAACTTAAGAAAACATGTTAAATGAGGATCTGAAATATTTTATGGCATACTTCACAAATATTGATGATTTAGTGTTCAAAAATGTTTTATTTTGATTATGTTTTTAAATAAATTGGTCTTACACTTCATATTTTCATAGCATAATTCCCGTACTTTTAACATAAACAGACCTATCAATCTCTACCAAATGGTTGATATTTTAAAATGATGGGATGTTTTAACTAGTAACATTAAGAGTTAAGAAATGCAATCCAAGATTTGTTTTGTTGGTGCGGCAGTTAAAGGGTTTACACAGCCTCACAATAATTACTATGGAGTTTATGAAGAAGGTTATTATAAAAAAACAAACTCTGTAAATAAATGTATTATTAACTTACATTAATCAAATTAAGAAATCAAGATTTTTCATTGCATGTTTACCTGTAATTAATTTAAGACTAAATTCAGTTATTTATTGTAATCTTAGTCAGTGTGTCTCCAATATTGACTAAAACATTTTTCCTGTATTTTCCGGACTAAAACATTTGTTTAAATTAAAAACAAAAAACATTTGAAGTCTGATTAACATATTAAAATTAGTTAAAATAACAAAACCACCCTCATTTCCTCTCTCGTTTTCATGTCACAGACTAAAAACTAAAAGGAAATGAAACAATAATTGATTACTTTAAATAAAAAACACTATGGCCAAGTTTCACAAACAGAGCTTAGATCAAGCCAGGACTAGGCTCTAGTTAAATTAGGCTATTTAAGCCAAATTTATAAAAATGGCCTTAAAAAAATATATTACTGGTGTGCACCTGGAGAAAAAATGACACTGATGTATTTTAAGACATCTCACTGCAAGTTATTTTGAGTTGAGACAGCTCAAACATGCAATTTAATCCTGACTAGCCTTAAACCTTGTTTGTGAAACCGGGGGAACATATCTTACGCCCCATTCACAAAGGGCTTCAGCGTCAACGCGTGACAGAGGGTGTGTCTGAAGTTGGGGCTGACGCGATTGTCATAGCAGAGTTAGCCAATGAAATTAGTCAGCAATCGGCCACAGTCCGAGCTGGTGTATTTGCATACAGTGATCTGATAGGCTGACGCTTCTGTCCCCGGCGCTGATGGATCCACAATGCAGTTCGGCAACGCCTGACGTCACCCATTCAAAGTGAATAGGAAACATTGACGCTGATGCCCCGTGTGAATGGGGCATTAGTCTTATTAGTTTAATCAATTATTAGTATTTTTGAAATTTATTTGGTTTTATTTTTTGCAGGTTTGGTTCTCCAAAGTCTCAGGCCTTAATGAGTTAATTTCTTTCTGCTGAACACAAATGTGGATAATATG